ACTTTGTCATTATTAGCTTCATCCAAGTGTTTGACATAAATACCTCACCGTAGACTTCGTTGATTCCTTATAGTAATAATATAAGTCTTCTAAAAGACGATCATTATTAAGCAGGAATGAATATGAAGGAAAATGATTTTGAATATAAACACAGTCATGGCATTAATTGTTTAACCATTCTAACACGTATCATTACAATCTAACAAAATACTTTTCATAAAAAATAACCACTCAAAACTGTTTATGTAATTCAAGAATATAACTATGAGTTCAAAGATTAAGGTGTAATTTATTTTGTGATTAAACTAACACCACATAAATTGGAATACGAAGTACGTCTTGTTATCTTTCCCCCTGTCTGTATCTCTCTATCACTTTGAAGTTAGTTTCAAAGTACACACATATTTCAGTAGAAAAATAACTTATACGACTATTTGTTTTCGAATTGAAATACATTTTTTCAGCCCACTTGACATTTGTACATGAATAGTCACTTCAATAAATAATAAAGTGGTACAGATTAATAACTAATTCCACACGATTTTTTGTTAACATTTTTCACAAAACTATCGTTTCAAAATGAGTTATTTCAAATGATTTAGCTTAAATCTCATTGAAGCTGTGAATTCACTTTGCAGGTTGTAAAATTGAGACGGAAGTTACACTGCATTCAGCATTCAATAGAAACTCCTCATCCTCACCTGAGAACACTTGTACAAGCACTCTCACCATTCGTCTCCCTGACAGGAGGAACTCGTTGGAACAATGTTCTAGAGTAGGAGATATCAGTGTTGAGAGACTGGTCGACAGACGGCATTTGGATAGTCCACGCCCAGATTGATGGATAGTCACTCCTTGTGTCAGTAGCGAGGCGTATATGCGCAATAGGTGACACAATTGTGAAGGGGATTCGTCTCTACAGAAACCTTCAACCAGATCCGATAGATGCTGGTCATTCCCAACGTCTAAAGCGCATAATAACAATTTTAACATTTGTTTCTTGTCTTATGTTCATATTAATCATGTTTCACAAAAGCTGCTGTTCAACTGAAATTACTTGTAATTTTTATTTAGCTTAATTGCTCATTAAATTCTGGTAGAGAACCTAACTAACTGAAATCAAGTTGACTCGATAGGCAGAAATGTGAGAAGGAGATTCCATTTTATTCTTCCTTTAGTGTAAAACAACTGACTCAGTAGGGAATTACAACACTGCTTAATCACTTATCGATCGCCTAACTGATAAATACACTCGGTCGTTCCACTTGAAGAAGACGAATAGGGATAATAAAAACGTCTATTCTCAATACATTTTACATGAAAGGCGCCAGTTTCCAGATTCCAACAATATTGCACATGAAGTAAGGGTTATTTACACGTCCATTATTTATACAGGCATATATGTTGTGTGACTTTTAGACTTATATGTACGATGAAAGCAAAGCGTAATTCATTTGGAAATGAAGTTATGCGATTTTCCTTCCACAAGTACATTTTCTAAGTGAAACAAAGACATGGGATTTTGAAAGTGTACATTATATGAACTGACAAGAGAAATGGATGGATTGGTGTCCAATTATAAAACGTTTCCTGATCAGTAGGCCTGTTTCCACTATTACTGTTCTGGATAGAGAAATGAATGACTCTACATAGTCCACTCGAATATCAGTGATTGATTAAACGTGCAAGTCTTTATTCATGTTAATTGTTCAACAGTGAGTCAAACTGATAAAGATTTTATGCACTTCATCTAGTGGAGATTTTGCCGACTTTCAACTTTTTGAAGTCAATTAGATTGAAGCAAACAACATTTAATGAAGTGTTAATTGGTGTTTGTCTATAGTGAATTTGTATTAAACGTTCTCATATTATCAAGTATTGATTTTGTAGGGGATTTTGTTTGATTGATTGGAGGATTTCATATTGAGCTGACATCAGTTAGAGAACCATTGGAAAACAATGGGAAGTACTGGACAGCTGTTTCGTCAGCCTAATTCAAAACTCTGCATCAGTAAGCACCCATTGATAGGGTTCGAAACAAGGACCTTCTGGTTACAGGGCTAGCGAGCTCGTAGACCATGACGTCACTGGAACCCGATCCAATGGCCAGCCAGCCCGTGAATTCTAACTTCTGCCAATTCATGACATAGCGCGAACACTCCACATAGTCTTGTTCGATGAGTTACTGCCTCACCTTCAACCTGCTGCATCCTACCGGTCACGGCTTCCCACAAGAACTCCAGGTCAACTGCCTGAGTGGGGCCAGTCGCTAGTGAGCATCAGATTAATTTTCAAGTATTGGTTTGGTAATGAAATCTGTTTGATTGGTTGTAGGATTTCATCATGATGTCAGCCCATCCTGGGTTCGAACCTCGGCGGTGGGTGCGTACTGCTGAAGAGTCCCAAACTAGGACTAAACAGCTGTCCAGTACTCCCAGGTTTTCATATTACTTTGTGTTTGTGTTCTTCATCTTGGAGTTATTCAAACAATGGAAATTATTACTCTTACAGGAAATAGCACTTCTAAGTTGCTTTATCTCATGGGAAACGAACATGTTGTCCGCAGTAGCATTATTTACTTTGGTACCAACAATTTTGAAACGAATTTGTCAGTGAAAAGTATACAATTTCATTTCAAATTATCAAAAACACGTAGTCAGTTCCATACAGTCACCTACTACTGTATAGTGGAAATGCCTGCCGACTAAGTGATACATGCCAGTTGAAGTGGATCGTTGAGGCTTTGAGGATAAAGGATAAGTCTTCTGTTTGTCGGCAAAATGTTAAGCAGTTCGTTTAATATATTTCAGTATAATGCCAACTCAGCCCTGACTAATCGCGTCAATTCACGAAACAGCTTTCAAGTGGTAATAGGTGTGTATCATCATGAATGAAACATTGTTCAGCATAAATTTCAGAGTTTTCAATGGTTGCCGCTCAATCAAACTCCAACCAAATTTGTACAAGTGAGTGACTACCACTCAACTGTTCGTCACTTTTAGTGCATTTTGATATGACATGGTAGAATTATCGATCATATTGACACATTTGTAACCATGTGAAGCAATAGTGCTTTATTCTACTGATTGTTGGGTATGATTAGTTGGATACCGCTAATACTAACCACTAGTGTTTGGCAGTTAGGCGGACCAAATTGATGTATGCCTCTTCGGGTCAATCCTCTCGTTTGAGGCTAAGTTTATCTGCGGTGTACCAGGATCCTTATAAGCCCATACAGTCAAATCAGCTGTAAACACCCGTATCCTGTCTAAGGACTTTGGCAAACAGGTATTACAATTTGCGAATTAATTTGTGAATCGCTATTTACACATTTCTTAATTTAAAATATCGATAAAGTCGAAAGAAAACTGAGTACATTTTCGACAATCTTTAGTGGTTATTGTTATTCAGCTTGTAAAGCATGGCGAAATGCTTCAAACACTCATGCGGATTACTCCACCGTTTCGTTTTCCAACATCATTCAAATTCAAAGTGACAGTTTGTCAAGTCATGTTTGCCCAGATAGCTTCAGTAAGCAAAAACTGCATTGCATTTTAATTAGTCGAAAATTAATTATTTTTCATGCTTACCTGAAGTGGTGAAACAAAAAGACTAACGAATGCTTTTCATTCAAACAGTTCTTTGGGAATATTGCATGCACTCATGGGATTCGAAATTCACTACCTGATGATACAGTCACAGGACTCTTGTGTGATATATTCATGAGAATAGCAAGTGTAGGTAAGAACGCTTTGTATTAGTTGGAAGTATAATCCGAGGGATAAAAATCACCTTGTATCTGGCCGGCTGTGTTTAATAATCAATTAATAAGCTCTCGTGTGCGTCGGTGGCACAGTGGTTATGACGCTTGCCGACCGTGCACATGGTCCGGGGTTCGATTCTCGGCCGGCGCACTCCTTTACCTCACTAAGCCGGTAATGAAGCTGGTAAAGAAAGAAGGTTGGGCATGAGGTTAGCGACCCTATCCTGTAAAATAAAAAATCAACTTCAGAGCTATAGCTTAAAGCCTTATGTTCCATTGGGAATGTGAAGGAATAAGAAAAAAAATAAGCACGCACTTTGTATTCAACGAAAAGTCACTTCATGTCTGTGAAGCGAAATTAGGTGGCCTTAAATATACACAGTGATGGAATTACACCGGAATAATTTTAAGCGGCCATACGGACTAATTATCAAAGAACAGCTGCTCTCATCTCACAAACATCAGAATTACTTAATGAAGATTCTG